CAAATCGTCTCCATGCGCATGAGACAAAATAGTTCAGAGTCACGATTACTAGGGCCAAAAAGTCAATTATACGAACGCCCGCATGCTCGCTGATGTCGCCTATCGACTCGTAACCTACGTTGAGTCACATTACCCTCCACCTCCCACCCCCGCCTACCCCACCTGTCCCCTCCCATTTTCTTCACACTAACCCGAACCCCAATAATTAACTAATTTCGGTCTAATTTGTCACACGCTTCCTACCTTACTACGTGCAGTCACTCGATTAAACATAATTGAAAACGTCCATGGGTTTGCCGGCTGCTATCCTGAACATGACCAAACATGTGCGATCCCAGGATCATGCAGCCTTGAGTGTAAACAACGGCATTTCTGATTTAAGCCAGTCTTCCGAATGTGAATATGCTAAACAGGTACACTTTTAGGATGTATTGGGAGAAACTAGAATACAAATGACTATTGCTAGATTCAGCAAAGGGATCGCAGTGTGATTTCGGCAAGAGACTCTTATAGAAAGCTTGCTGGATGTCATACATGCATCTGCCAAGTTCTATGATGGTGAGATTGGATGCTTATTTCTATCAGTAGTGCTTTGAGTCCACTAGAGTAAACTTTACACCAATGGGGTGGGGGTATGTACGTTTCTGATTTTTTTGGCCATGGCATTATTCTATCCAGAGGCCGTAAACGAACATTAGTAAATTAGGTATGCGTCAACCACCTGCGTCGTGGAGCTGCCTTAATCGGCAGCAGAACAAAGGCCACATGTCTCATACCAAAAGAAGAAGACTTGGTGGGAATTTTTTATAGTTCTCCCTCCTCTTCTCTCGTTATGATATTGGAAAAGGAACCACTCGTAGTACGGATGGCTTTCGGTTCATTCCCGGGAAAAGGAGGGTTAGGTTTGATGCTGGGGTTAGGGTTGGGGGTGGAGATAGAGTTAGGACACGTGAATGATTATCCTTCTTGGAATCTACCGCCAGGCCACCTAGATCATTTGGGCAGGTCGTTCCGCCATCATACATTCGTAGTCCAGGAAATCGAATAGACAATGCAGATCATGATCACCCAGTCCGCAGTTTTACGATCGCCCAGCCTGCGATTTTACGCATTCGCTCTACGCGTAAGGAGGTACGACTTTGCCAGATCACATCGCCTGCGTGTCTTAGGGGAGGCAGATAAAAAGAGACGCTTGGATAGTGCTACCGACAGCCGGCCATGGCCAACCGTCAGGGCTCGGAGAAGATAGGCGTGAAAATGAGTCATTTGTTTGGCGCACGTCTAGTTCAAACAATCTCTCATTCTAACAATTCTTCCATACCCTTTTGGGCGTAGTCAAAGCCACATGACAGCGAGGCTCAACAATCCGTCCTGATTAAAGGAGCGAGTACAGACGGCTCCCTTCTGACCTGAAGATGTGGCTCATTGATTTTCGTGACGTTATATGCCAATGTCTTGCCAGGTCTCCAAGTACATCACGTGAATATTTATCCTTCTTGGAATCACTTAAACAAAGCAAATTACGATCGCCCAGCCTGCGATTTTACGCATTCGCTCTACGCGTCTGGAGGTACGACTTTTTCATATCACATCGCCTGCCTGCCTGTCCCAGTGGAGGCAGATAAAAAGAGACTCTTGTATTGTGCTACCGACAATGGTAATTGTCTCTAGCAGCCAGCCACGGCCCACCGTCAGGGCTCCGAGACGAGAGGCGTGAAAATGAGCCATTTGTTTGACGCACGTCTAGGTCAAACAATCTCTCACTCTAGCAACACATACATACCCTTTTGGGCGTGGTAAAAACCACACGACAGCGAGGCTCAACAATCTGTCCTGATTAAAGGATAGAGTACAGACGGCTCCCTTCTGACCTGAAGATGTGGCTCATTGATTTTCGTGACGTTATATGCCAATGTCTTGCCAGTTGGACAGAGGCCACGCAGGTCTCCCAGTGCATCACGAGGCATTTTCCTCATATGTCGGTGTGGAATGAACCCCGTGGTAAGCACCTACAAAGGTGTAGAACAGATGTTCTGCCTGTAAAATACCCATCTTACGGTAGAGACCCGCTGAAGAATAATTGAAGAAGTAAGGTTGGATTGACGAAAGTTTCAAATGCTCCGAAAGTGGAACTCTTCTCTAGATCAGTTTCCGATAATCCACCTGATGGACACAATACTGTTGGCGTAAGGGTTAGGGGTTAGTGTTACGGTGTTCGAGTTACGGAATTATAGTTGGGGATTAGGATTAGGGGTTAGGGGTTAGGGTAGGATTAGAGTTAGCTGTCAGGACGGCTATTTCTTAACCACTCAAAGTACAGCTGCGCATTCCCAATACATTTATCCGCATGCAACTATTTAACATCGTCGCCTGTGTGTTCCCCTGTCCCACCAGTAATAGCCACCTATTACCATCGGTCCAGTATTAGAGGTGACTGGGGTTTGTTTACTTCAGGTGGGGCTACATTACCATATCTGACCGAAATCAAACCAACAAAGAGGAAGAATCACTTCATCCTGACTGAAACAAAAATATCCACCCCATACCAGCAAGCCTGTTACACGCACTAGTCGAAATAAATGCGTTGCTAAATGCGAAGAAGAAATGGCACGACAAAACAAACACTCGATGATGCCTTGCGAAAATATTCACTGGCAGGGCTAGCAAGGCATCCAGGTACATCTAAGAGTTATGTGGGTTCAGAGAAGCCGAGCAAACCATAGGCCTGGGTACGCTATCATTCCAAGTATTCATTAGAGAGGAGCTTGAATTGCTTTGCAACTATGTCAAAATCCCTTCGTGGAATAGTTTTCCAGAGAGCCTGTAATATAGGTTTGAAGCGGTCGGTTGTTTGCCTGGAGTGAATGCCGCTGCCATTGAATACGCTGCTTGAGTCTACGCGGAAACAGGAATGTCAAAGCCTACGTAGGTAGGACATGCATCCGTAACGTCTGAAGATACATTTACCTCGGATCATTCATTAGTTTGCTAAATTGCAAAAAAACATGTCCTGGTGATACAAATATTTCACGCAGGAATCCGATTTGCTCTTCTCATTTTTGAGGCGCCATCTGATTACTGAGCGCTTAAGACCGTGGCAGCATCTCAAACGCAGATGCCTGTCGGATGGGCGCATCATTGACTGGGTAGTGCCCTCAGAGCGGTGTCTGCGCCTGCTACGGGAGCATCACTGCTCGCGCTCACGTGTCTCCCTGCCTCATCGACACGGCACGGTGATGAGTCATAGGGGGGTCGGCCATGGAGCTACCGGTCATAAGGCTTCAACGTTTCCGTATACCCCGCTCCCTCTCTCCATTTAACAGAAACCCAGAGAGAGAGCACACACACTGTCATATTAGAAAGTCAGAATAGTGTTGACCGCGTGACCGTACGTTCAGACCACAGTGTGAGGTTTTTGACTGTGGTTAGGAGAGGCCAACCCAGCCGTCATCTGGATTCATTTACCACTTCAGCGGGTCGCCAAATTAACAGTCATCGAACGGAAATGCTCCTTAACTGCATCTTTAATTCAGATGCTAAGTAAACCGCAGATGCGAACGCTAGGGGGAGGCTAGTCAGCAGAAGTTGGGATGTTCAATGGAGGTGTTGGCACAACCGTTTAATCCAAATCTGAACACGTATAGCTAATTTCCCCGAATGATTAACGGCGCTCTAGAGATCGACTTCGCATTAGGTCGGAAATCGTAGGTGGGCGTTAAGAGGCATCCGCTGACGGTACGGACTGTTCTTTTCGCATCTTACAACCGCGGAAACTCGAGAGAAGGGATGTCGGAGAGTTCGACTAGTGACAATTAGACCGTCGTGCCCGACAATTTCCACCGTGTGTCCCACCTCAAGGTGCAGCGGGAACGGTGACTTGCGCATGAGTTCATTTCCAGTGAGTGCAGACTTGTGCAACATCTACTGCACTCTCTCCTCCCCCACGTGTAAGTCAAGCGGGCCGGAGGTAAGGGTGGGCGCAGGTGACAGGCAGGTCGGACCCGCAACCAGGCGGGTAGTCCTGCAAACTTAGGGCTGCTCAACCGGAATGCCTACATTAAACTTCAGTGCGGACCTAAAAGGCCGGTTGTTGGCCTGGAGTGAATGTCGCTACCATTGAATACGCTCAGTGAGCCTACACGAAAACAGGTATGTCACTGCTTCACACATCCTTTCCTTGTCTACATCTATTCCAATACTATGCATTGTCTTTATGTTATTAGTAGAATACTGATACTGCCTCTGGCGCTTGTGGAAATGTCAGGTGAGTAAAATTCTCGTCCACGGGGTCGAGTCGCCTTCCAACTGCAGCGTGTACCGCCAATGACACGTTAATCACATTAGACAGCGGTCACACATCAAGTTATTAGAAACGAACAAAGTCTACAACTCGGACGTCTTCTGGTGCGGCCAGTGTAAAGGACAATACAGTCCCTGATTATGGGTAGATAGATCTACTGACTGAACCGTCAGTGCAGAATTACACCCCTCTCATTCTGCCAGATAGCAGATCTCCAGACACACCTCATCCCTAGAGAACCGACACCAATAAATTCCTATGGCGAACACTTAACGAAAAGACTGAATAGAAGGCGGCAATGAAAATGCTCGCAAGAAATATCGTCCCTTGCCGATTGCGCCCAGCCATGGCGACGTGAGCGGTTGACCTGCTGGGTCGTCTTCATTACCATGATGCTAATTGGCCAGAAGACAGTAAACAAAGTTCATGCGCCCTACCTGCCATTGGCCAGCGAACATTCTAGAATGCTCTTACCTTCTGCCAACTTCTAGATTGCTCGGGGCTGTGAGGGCTGGGTAGGCCTGCCACCACGACGCTAATTGGTCGAAACCACGCACTGCCTTCTTGCTATTGGTTAGCGAACATTCTAGAAGGCTTGAAGGGACTGCGCGCGGCCGGACTATAAAGTCTGACCCCACACGCCCCACGCCACATTCAACGTCTCTTTGCTTGGTTCGCGTTCGTCTGTTCAGCTATCATCATGAGTAAAGGACCAGCCATTGGCATCGACTTGGGCACCACGTACTCCTGTGTTGGTGTGTTCCAGCATGGCAAGGTGGAGATCATCGCCAACGACCAGGGTAACCGCACAACGCCCAGCTATGTGGCCTTCACGGACACCGAGCGTCTGATCGGTGACGCCGCGAAGAATCAGGTGGCCATGAATCCCACCAACAGTGTGTTTGATGCCAAGCGCCTGATTGGCCGCAAGTTTGATGATCCGACTGTACAGAACGATATGAAACATTGGCCATTCCATGTAATAAGTGCGGGTGGAAAGCCGAAGATTCAGGTGGAATTCAAGGGTGAGACGAAGACCTTCTTTCCCGAAGAGATTTCATCTATGGTACTATTGAAAATGAAGGAGACGGCTGAAGCATACCTGGGTCATCCGGTGACGGATGCAGTGGTCACCGTTCCGGCCTACTTCAATGATGGTCAGCGTCAGGCCACTAAGGATGCTGGCACGATCTCGGGCCTGAACGTTCTTCGTATCATCAACGAGCCGACTGCTGCGGCCATTGCATACGGTCTGGACAAGAAGGTTGGAGCTGAACGCAATGTGTTGATATTTGACCTGGGTGGTGGAACCTTCGATGTCTCCATCCTGTCCATCGAGGATGGCATCTTTGAGGTGAAGTCGACTGCCGGTGACACACATCTGGGCGGTGAGGACTTTGATTCTCGACTGGTGAATCATTTTGCAGCCGAATTCAAACGCAAGTACAAGAAGGATGTGTTGGAGAATAAGCGAGCTGTGCGCCGTCTGCGGACCGCGTGTGAGCGAGCAAAGCGTACACTGAGCTCGAGTGCACAGGCGAATGTGGAGATTGATTCACTGCTTGAGGGGATTGACTTCTACACGGCAATTACGAGGGCTCGTTTTGAGGAGCTGTGTGGTGACCTCTTCCGCAGCACCCAGGAGCCAGTGGAGAAGGCCCTTCGTGATGCAAAACTGGACAAGTCTAGCATTCATGAAGTCGTATTGGTGGGTGGATCGACTCGCATTCCAAAGATTCAGAAGTTGCTGCAAGACTTCTTCAACGGCAAGGAACTGAACAAGTCGATCAACCCGGATGAGGCGGTTGCCTATGGGGCGGCGGTGCAGGCAGCAATTCTGTCTGGTGACAAACACGAGGTAGTGCAGGATCTTCTGCTGTTGGATGTGGCGCCGCTGTCGTTGGGCCTGGAGACTGCTGGTGGAGTGATGACTACCCTGATCAAACGAAATACGACAATTCCGACGAAGCAGACGCAGACCTTCACCACGTACGCGGATAATCAGCCAGGTGTGCTAATTCAGGTATACGAGGGTGAACGAGCAATGACGAGAGACAATAATCTGCTGGGGAAGTTTGAGTTGTCGGGCATTCCGCCGGCACCTCGTGGTGTGCCGCAGATTGAGGTGACCTTTGATATAGACGCTAACGGCATTCTGAATGTTTCGGCGTGTGACAAGTCTACGGGCAAGTCTAACAAGATCACCATCACTAACGACAAGGGTCGTCTGTCAAAGGATGACATTGAGCGGATGGTGCAGGAGGCGGACAAGTATAAATCGGAGGATGAAGCGCAACGGAATCGAATCGCGGCGAAGAATGGGTTGGAGAGTTATGCGTTCTCCATGAAGGCGACGATAGAGGAGGAGAATTTGAAGGAGAAGTTATCGGAGGAGGACAAGAAGAAGATAACGGAGAAGTGTGAGGAGACACTGAGCTGGTTGGACGGTAATCAGACGGCGGAGAAGGAGGAGTTTGAGCACAAGCAGAAGGAACTGGAGGCGGTGTGCAATCCGATAATAACGAAATTGTACCAGGGTGCCGGTGGAGGAATGCCAGGTGGTTTCCCGGGTGCAGGTGGCATGCCTGGTGCGGCTGGCGGTGGCAGCAGTCCTGGCAGTGGTGCTGGCAGGGGTCCAACCATCGAGGAGGTGGATTAGGCTTGTATTTCCAATACTTAGTAAATACTGCAGTGTGTTGTCTTTATCTTATTTTTTGGGTTGGTGAACGGGTTAAGGGGTTCTAGGGTGGCGTCTGTAGATTTGGGTTGGGAACCGTCTGTTGTTGTCGTAGGGATGGTAGATTTGGCTTCGTCGGACCTGGTTTTCTGGTTGTTTGTAAGTGTTTTTTAGGGCTAACCGTAGGGCAGCGAGTCTAGTAAGGATGGTCTTCTAAGGTAGCTGTAAGTGGAGAGTTGGGGTTGAGCTGCATCGAAGTCACGTTCAACCACCGTTCCACGGTAGGCAAATCGAATGCCAGGTCTCGTAATTGCCTGTAGATGTGGCTGGGTTTGGGTTTCCTGCTTGTCTCCGTTCAGACAGAGGTAGGTAAGATGACTATGAAAGGGCATATGCATACGTGTGACGATCTTCCACGAACCTAGTGTAGATCTCTAGGCTCGATTACGCTTTTGCGGTTGTCGTCTTATTCTCACTCTACATTCCCACTTGCCTCTCCTGTTAGTTTGGAACGTTTACTATCTAGGAACATGTCCTTGGGTTGTTCCCTGTCTACTAAAGGACTTTCGGCCCAGTTCTGCGTCAAATGGGTCTCGCTCTAGGTTCTGTAGCCTCCAATGTTGCCCCAGGTGATGGAGCGACGGTGTGTCTTCAGAGGCTACTTCTGAGTTACCATAACTGAATTTCATAATTGCCTTTGAAGATGTCTGGCGTGAAATTTCCCACTTGTTTTGCATCTTTCAGCGACAATAAAGGTGGTCAGAAATATCACGGTCAAGTGGGCCGATTCGCTCGGACTAACAGTAGTCCAGTAGACTGTGGCGAGGAAGATGTGTTAGTGGATACCTGGTTTTGGCATTTGCGCTGCGACGTATTCGTAGATGGCCGACTAGGCTGATGTGTGACTGACATGTGAAGTTGCCTGGGTGGCATCGTCTAAGCAAGTTGTAGACACTGGGTGTCCTTCTGTTTCAGCTGCCGCCTTCGTTGGTAGAGGTATCCGCATGCCTAAGTAGGGCAATAGACGATGGTGGGTGAGAGAGGAGGGGTGCTACTGGCGGTTTTGCTGTCGGGGGTTAGGTTGGTCAGGTCGCGATTTTGTGTCCAGCAAGGCCGTCCCATGTGTGTCAAGGCTCGTTGACACTAGAAAAATATTGACAGGATTTGTGCATTGACCTGCCGAAATCTAACCATGACTGCTTGTCGCTTCCCCCTGTTCCCTTCTATGAGACTGACTTCGACGACAACCGCCCCAATTTGTATGGCCGGTAGTCATACCTGCTGGTTCTGTGTATGCCGTTTCTTCGTTAATTGAGAAGTCCTTTAAGGTGGGTCTTAATACGGACTTGTAGCATCATATTTCCGATCGTCTTTGCGAACGCACCTAGCGCAAGCAATTCCATACTGAGTGGTTTCGGAAAGCAATGTATGCACCAACCCTAGAGGTGCAAGCTCCAACCTAGTTGTAAATGTTACTGGGTTGTTAGTTAATGGTAATCACATCAGGTAATCGATCTGCCGTTTATTTATTCTGCAGGGTTACGTGACTAACTGGATATAGTTAATGCTGCCGTGCTTGTCGTCCGTCTGGTCGATATCCTTGGTAGGCGTCTGTCCGCATTACGTAACCTTTGTGGTTTTGAAAGGGTTGGATGACGCGAGCCTGCTTCCTCCCATTTATGACCTCGAATGCCTCCGGGATTAATTTCTCGTCAGTCAAACGACCCACCATGCCTAGCAGGGCTGTCCGAACATGACAGTGGACAGTTTGAGACATCCACAGCCTAATTACATGCCAGAGGTCGTTTTGACTCACGATGCCGAAGACCCAGTGATTCGCAACACATCTGATGTGCGGATTATTCGTCTTTTCCGCACTCACCAGACTGGCAACACTAATTTGGTGACCAACAGTTTTGTCAGAATTCACACTGATTCACAGTAATGAGTCCTCCAACAAAACAAAAATCGGGACGACTAAACAGAATTCGGGCGAGCATGAGGTCAGCCAAGCCGAGAAGAGTGAATCGCCGGTGGTGGTATTCACACAATGTTTGCCGCCTGTAAACATTGTGCGAAATCACTTTGGGGTCTTGACTTCTAGAACATGCGAAAGATTTCGCGAAATGGGCTCAATTCACACTGGAATCCATTATGGGGGACAAAGTCTGACCAGGTCTGATTTTGTCACTGATGATGGATTTAGGTGAGAATCCGAAACGTCAGACTAATACAGTTCTTTTTCCAGCGGTCGTATCTCCTTAATCGTGCATTCCATTTGCCGTGTCTGTCAGCCAATCATTTTGCATCTTTTACATTCTGTTGCAGTCGATGGATGCAACTTCAATCTGTGCCATTTTTTCGATTTTGTTGGTACTATGGGGTTTGGTTTCCCTCGGAAATCGGTCACCGTACCTAAACGTCGTTAACATCAAAACATTTCGGGTTGCAATGACGAATATTTTCAGCGGCAGCGCTGTGTGTGGCTGTCCGCAACTTCTGTCAATATTTCTTAACGTTTACTCTTCTAGAGGTACGAAAGGCAGCACGCGAACGGGCTAGATCGCAGTTGGTAGCCAGGAATGGGGAAGTGGACGGCGACCTTAACCTTAACCCTAACCTTAACCTTAAACGTTAACCGTTAACCCTGACGACAACCCTAACCTTAACCGAAATCGTATACGTAACTGCAGCCCTTAGGTATAGCCGTAACTGAAAAACCTAACCGTAATTCTGAAACCTAATCGTACGCCCAAACCCTAACCGTAACCCGAAAACCTAAGCCTACAGGCATAACTCTAAACCGAAAATCGGAAACCATTAACCGGTACCCTAATCCTAACCTCAAACGTAAGACGGAAGCCAAATGGGTGAGATGTGATGATGGAGCCCACAAAATAGCCCCAGTAAACAAACCCCCCGCCACCTGTGATTCGGGGCCTGGTTACCAACTGCGATCTAGCCCGCGATCGGTAACTGAAAGCGCCTTGTTGGAGAATTTCCGGCCTGCGGTGGCAAGTAGAATAACACGAGTGTCTTTGGAATTAAATACCTCCAGGTCCTCTCAGTATATGCAGTAACTGCTAACTACCCCATCCTGCGTTTTTACGAGGACTTATTGGCATTAGTTGATCATGAAGTCAACAAATGTTCTTTCGACCTGGCATTCAGACATGATAGTGGAGTGCCACCTTGACCGGAATGATGTTTCTGTCGCCTTCAAGTAAAAATTCCCCAAAGGAACTTAGTCGAAATCACTCTTCTTTAAATTACACGGACTTATTGTGTGTAGAGAAAGTCTACACACAGACTTATGCCATACAGCCGAAACGTCTGAGGATACATTTATCTCGGACCATTCATCAGTATGCTAGATTGCAAAAAACGTGCCCTGGTGATACGAATAATTCACGCAGGAATTGGATTTACACGTCGCCTTTTTTACGATTGATTTGCTCATAAAGAAGAGGGTGGAGTGGTGGGGAGCGAGGGAGGGGGAGGAATAGAAGGCGGAGGAAATGGCGGCGGCGGCGGCGGCGGCGGCGGCGGCGGCGGCGGCGGCGGCGGCGGCGGCGGCGGCGGCGTCAACTAGCACCCAGGCTACCAGCCAAGGCTCTTCGCGTCACATGATTGTTGAGCGCCTGGGGCCGTCGCAGCATCTCAAACGCACATGTCTGTCGTGTAGGCGCATCAATGACCGGGTCGTGGCCTTAGAGCCGTGTCTGCGCCCGCTGCGGGAGCATCACCGCTTGCGCTCACGCGTCTCCGTGCCTCGCCGACACGCCGCGGTGATGAGTCATACGGGGGCGCGCCGTATCCCAGTCGGACATGAGGGTACCGGTCATACATGTGTCAACATGTGTCTTCTACCCCCCCCCCCCTCCCTCCTTTCAACAGCAGCCCAGGGGAAGAGCACAGACAGTCATATTGAAAAGTCAGAGTAATGTTGACCGTGCGACCGTACGTTCTGACCACATAGCGGGCTTTTGACTGTGGTTAGGAGAGGCCAACCCAGCCGTCATCTGGATTCATTTACCACTTCAGCGGGTCGCCAAATTAACAGTCATCGAACGGAAATGCTCCTTAAGTGCATCCTTTATTCAGATGCTAGGTAAATCGAAGATGCGAACGCCAGGGGGAAGGCTAGTCAGCAGAAGTTGGGATGTTCAAAGGAGGTGTTGGCACACGTGTTAAATCCAAATCTGCATACTTCTCGCTACTTTTGCTGGACAATCGATGGCGTTCTAGAGGTCGGCCTCGCATTAGGTCGAAATTCGTGGGTGGGCAATAAGTGGCATCCACTGATGGTACGTACTGTTGTTTTTGCATCGTACAACCGCGGAAACTCGAGAGAAGGGATGTCAGAGTTCGACTAGTGAAGATTAGACCGTCATGCCCGACAATGTCCACCGTGTGTCCCACATCAAGGTGTAGCAGGAACGGTGACTTGCGCGTGCAGATTTGTGCTACATCCATCGCACTCTCTCCGCCTCCCCACCCGAACCGCGTGTCAGGACGTAGTCAAGTAGACCGGAGGTGAGCGTGTGGGAGCATGTGGCTGGCAGGCCGGACCCGTACCTAGGCGTATCGCCACACCCCGTGATCCCCAACAAACGCTTGACTAGGCTTTTGACCAACAGCTGCACAATGAGTCAGAAGGACCAAAATGACTGGGCAGCCAATCTCACGGCCCGTATATCCGTCACATCTACCGGCAGGGAGTCAGGCGCCAGAGAACTGTCAGCGCGCAGGCTGCGAGGATTATGGTTTGCCGACCCTGGCGCAGTAGACGCCTACAGACCTTTAGGCCGTTCCCCGGGTTCGTCCTTGGGGAGTAAAACTGAGAAGACCTGTAGTTGGACTACATGCGTATTGTAAGCAGAGGTCGACTACGTACGAGAAAAGGGAAACCACAGAGCCGAAAAAGTGGTGTCACCAACATAGTAATCCCAAATACTCTGCATCTTAGTCTGAGGACATGA